AATAAGATCATAAACCGGTAGCGCTCTCATATCACACTTACTATACATTGATATTCACATTAACCAAACAGCTACTCTAAAGAATAACAGATGTATAAAGGCACAGGAACCGAATTCTATATCGCATTTGTCAAGCGTATATTATATTGGAGTTTTTGCCAACTTATAAGCCTGTTCTGTTACTGCGAACATGGATTTTCATAAAAAGGAAGTCAGTATTCTCACTAAAATCTATTTAAGCAGTCTCCACCTTGTCCAAAAAAAGTTCACAAATGTAGACGATTTATCAAAGTTTCTGACATTAGCACCCAGGTGACTCTAGTTTGCATTCCTAGACATACTTATATAAAAGAATATGCAAGCGGATGAGCTAAAAGCACTTAAAAATCTTTTTTTATAGAATCTCACGTTTCAATCCGCCAGCCAACCACAAAAAGTTAACATATAACTAGTTTTTGATTAAACATCTACAAGATATATAAATTCTTAAGCCTCACATTAAGCGAAAATCTTCTAAATTATTTATATTATGAATAATTGATCCTGCACAATGAAAATTAAGCGAATGGTTTCTATAAATGGCCTATAAATTTCAAATATAAAACCTCTGACTTAGCCAAAAAAAAGTGAATTGATAGTATCTGAAATAATATCGATCCCAACGGGACACTGAACTATGGGACGTTATGGAGTCAGATTAAGCCTGTCCTCTCATATCTCCTGTCGTACATTCACTACCAATGGTAGAAGCGAAAACACCGTAACATCTGTTGTGTCTATGTAACATCTGTTGTGTCTATGTCTAGGCTGATTTAAAACTACGCTTAAGTTTTTGGACGATTTTTTTCTTAAAACACTCGTCGGTTTTTCCAATATTGATACTGGCCAGATACGTGCATTTATCAATACGTCTAGCTAGATTTAATATGCTCTACTCTCTACAGACAATGACGAGGTTTGTTGAATCGGTTTCCTAATCTAATCGGGGAAGACGTGATTCTTCTTCCACTTCACCTACATAGAAGTATGGAAGCGATTTGTAATTTATTAAGATAATAGTTGTCTCCAACTACTTTAACAGAAGTTTTTCTTCAATTTGAAGGATATCTGCATAAAAACAGTACAAAACTCGGATATTTTAATATATAGGCAATTTGTAATTATTTTCAATAGTTTCAAGTATCTAATTTGGCTCTCAAATTTGATCCATTTTGTTAAAAGTCAATAATATGCCTTAGTTGCTTCTACTAATAGTAAAAACTTATTGATTTTTAAATAAATGAATAGTTTTGATAAATAAATTTATGATAAGGGTACTGTTTGTAAAATTGATTTATTACAAAGCATCTGGATCACAATCTCAGCATCAAGCACTACCTTGATTAATTTATATTTAAGTAAGGAAGGAAAAAAAATCTTACATCATATAAGCGACTTTATGAAACATATTTTTAAATAAAAATAATGTGAACTCTTTCATTAATGTTTTTGCTTGAAACATGTTTCATTGGTAAAATTTTTTTGTATTAAAATTTTTTCATTTCAAATTAAAAGGAATCCTCTTTCATACATAAAATAAAAGTTACTCATATTAAGAACTCTTCTTGCGAATAAAATATTGTTATTGTATAATTAGTTACTTTTTCCTTCAATTTTTTGAAAACCTTTAGTGCATGCAAAAGGAAAATGACTGCACAATTCAAGTTAATACCTTCGGAATGAAGGAACGTGACTTCCACTGCATTGGCGAACTGCACGTGAATGTATGCAGTCACAAAAAAATGCATGCAGCAGCAACCGCAGCTGTTCTTGCAATTATGAAGACAAGTGGATAAAATGAGAGGGGGAGAAAGTATGACTGCGACAACATTTACAGGAATTTAGAGTTGGTTTTTCATAGTTCACTAAACTCAACATGGTATAGACTTAACCCCGACAGAATCATTCATACATTTTTAATACTATTGATTCACATGCCACCACACACGGAAAAGCATATTTCACTATGCACAGCCAAATCCACATCCACACTTGCAGTTACACTGACTGATTCGCACATTTCGCTGTAGGTATTGCTGTATGCCTGCAGCGTGTTGCAATGTAGTTCACAGTGAAATTGCGAATGAATTTTTACTCCTTTTTAACCCTTTTTGTGTACGTCGGTGTTACAGCGGAAGGAATGACATTTTGTTTAGCACACCTTCAGCTTGTCTGCAGTGTTTTTGTAAGCGTTTAAGTGATACGAGCATTTGTAAGAAATTTGTATGCTTTCATTGCATTTGAATTGAAGCTTTTCCTTGGCGCTCTGCTGAAAAATTTATTCGAAAAATTGTCTTCCCTCCTTCGGTTATATCGATTGCTATACATGTGATTTTTAAATTTATACATTATTTTTCTGCA